GGGACTATAGGTGCCCACCACAACGCCAGGCTTTTTTTTTTATGCAACAGTCATTGTTGTTTGGCAGGCTGGGGCTGGATTCGAACCCGCCCGCCTGCCCGCCCGCCCGCTCGCCCGCTCAGGTGTATGTGGCTGGTGCCTTAGCTACTTGAGCCTAGACTCTGGACCCCCTCTGGCTATTGTTAAAGATTGGGTCTCGCTCTAGCTCAGGCTGGTCCGGAACTTCTAAGCTCAGGGTAGTACACCTGGCTCGACCTCCCAGAGTGCTAGGATTACAGGTATAAGTCAACCACACCAAAAGTAAAACCAGCTCTGGGATGATATTTGATTTACTGTAATGCCTGTGATGTCTTATTATTAATTCCTTTCATTTACAGTGTGTTGTTTTGGAGTGTTTAGTTGTTTTGAGACATGGTCTTGTTCTGTTGCCCAGGATGGAGTGTAGTAGTTTTATCATAGCTCATTGAACCTCAGACTCCTGCTGGGGTCAAGTGATCCTCCTACCTCAGCATCACTGTACCTGGCTACTTTTTGAGTCTCACTGTGTTGCTCAGGCTTGGTAATTTTACATTGTGCAAATATTTATGCTCTGAAAGTGATAGCATCTCTCTCTCTCTTTTTTTAATTAAATCACAGCAGTGTACATTAATACTATTTTGGGGGTACAGTGTACTGTTTCTGTATACAATTTGAAATACTTTCATCTAACTGATTAACATAGCCTTCATGTTTTTTTCTTAGTTATTGTGTTAAGATGTTTATGTTCTACATTGAGAGATTCACATGTACCCTCGTAGGATGAACCATAAGCGTGATCCCACCAATCACCCTCCCTCCACCCACCCTCCTATCTCCTCTCTCTTTCCTCTCCCCTCTCCCTTCTCCCCATATTCCTGGGCAAAAATTGGGTTATAGCTTTCCCATGAAAGCTGTAAAGTAGTTTCATAGTAGGGCTAAGTACATTGAATGCTTTTTCTTCCATTCTTGGGATACTTTGCTAAAAAGAATATTTTCCAGCTCCATCCCTGTAAACATGAAGGAGGTGAAGTCTCCATCTTTCTTAATGGCTGCATAGTATTCCATGGTGTACATATATACCACAGTTTATTGATCCATTTGTGGATCGATGGACTCCTGGGCTTCTTCCATCACCTAGCAATTATGAATTGGGCTGCAATGAACATTCTGATACAAGTATCTTTATTGTAGTGATTTTTGGTCTTCTGGATGTATACCTAATAGAGGAATTACAGAATCAAATGGCAGGTCTATTTTTATTTTAGTTCATGATAGCACCTCTTAATAGGAAATATCTCCTGCAGTACATTGACACTCAAAAATATCAGTGTTATCTAAGTACATACATTATAGGGGTAACCGTGCTAATGTTCTTTTTTTTTTTTTGTGACGAGTCTCACTATCTCATCCATTACAGCTCACAGCAACCTTAAATTCTTGGGCTTAAGCAATTCTCTTGCCTCAGCCTCCCTACTAGCTGGGACTCTAGGTGCCCACCACAATGCCTGGCTATTTTTTTTTTGTTGTTTGTTTGTTTCACTTGTCATTGTTTAGTAGGCTTGGGCCGGGCTCAAACCTACCAGCCTTTGTGTATGTGGCCTGCTGGGCTTCGAGCCTCATGTTCTTTATAATGGTTTAAAGCTGTATCTATGCAGGATGAGGTATATATTAACCAGTGTGATGTAAACGTTCCTGATTCTATAGAAAATCAGCACTTTGTACCCCATAAATGCATTAATGTATACATGAAAAAAAATAAAGCTGTATCTAAGGTGACACATCTAGTCTGTAATTTCATGGCCAATTTGAAGAAGATTGTTTTTACTTTAAAATGTCTTTACATAGTTAGAAAATTAGATTGAATTAGAAAACCTGGTTGACGGGTGGTGCCTGTGGCTCAGTGAGTAGGGTGCTGGCTCCATATACCGAGGGTGGTGTGTTTGAACCTAGCCCCAGCCAAACTGAAGCAACAAAAAATAATAGCCGGGCGTTGTGGGCGCCTGTAGTCCCAGCTACTTGGGAGGCTGAGGCAAGAGAATCTCTTAAGTCCAAGAGCTGGAGGTTGCTGTGATGCCACGGCACTCTACCAAGGGTGACAAAGTGAGATTCTGTCTCTTAAAAAAAAAAAGAAAACCTGGTTGACATAAATTGATTATGAAAAATAATTTTTATCACACTTAAATGCTATATTGTAGCACAAATATAACACTGAAAATCTGAGTATTTTGATTTACGTTGATTTTTCTTTTTTAAAAAAGTTTCTTCTGCACTTTAGAGATAGCATATAGATTTTTAACAGTTAAAAAAAGTCTTGAAGTTTAGTAGGTAAAAAATGGCTTTGTGTGTTAGATTTTCAAACTATATATTGTTAAGTTCAGTTTTAAGTTTTGTTAATACATTAAATACTAAGGAATTTATGTTTTCTTACAGGGGATGGTTCCATTTGTATTTGTTGGCACTAAAGAAAGCATCGGAAACGTGCAAGTTCTTTTAGAATACCATATTGCTTATCTAAAGGTTTGTATAAGGCTTGCATACATTGTTGTCTTTGTTGCTACGTTTACTGCAAATATAAATACTCACGAAGTGGAATTTCTTTTCTTTTTTCTTTTCTTTTCTTCTTTTTTTTTAGAGACAGAGGCTCACTATGTTGCCCTCTGTAGAGAGAGGGTTGTGGCATCACAACTCACCACAACCTCAAACTTTTTAGGGCTTAAGTGATTCTCCTGCCTCAGCGTCCCATGTAGCTATAATACCCAGCTATTATATTTTTATGCAGCTTCAGATTTGCCATTTTTCTACATAGGAATTTAAAAATAACAATAACTTTGCCATAATAAAATGATTGGCCAAATGTACATTATTTTTCTATTCTCTCTGAAATTTGTTTTATTTCTTTATTGTTTAAAAAATTGTTGCTTTTTGTGTTTAAGTAATTTGACATTCTTCACTTATATTTTTGTTTATAGAGTCATTTTGTTTTTACCTTTGTACTTTACATACAAATAGGAAAGCCAGGAGTGATGTTGGGCTTACTCGATTAACTTCAGTCTTATCTGAATCAGTTGTATTTGACAATTCTTTTCTTTTCTTTCTTTTTTTTTTTTTTTGGTAGGGACAGTTTTACTTTTATCACCCACAGTAGAGTGCTGTGGCATCACACAGCTCACAGCAACCTTCAACTCCTGGGCTTAGGTGATTCCGTTGCCTCAGCCTCCTGAGTATCTGGGACTACAGGCATCTGCCACAATGCCTAGCTATTTTTTTGTTGCAGTTTGGCTGGGGCCAGGTTTAAACCTGTACCCTCGGTATATGAGACTGGTGCCCTGCTCACTGTTCTTTTTTAAAATCCACTTTAATTGGCAAATAATTATCATATTCATGGAGTACATATTGATTTTTTTTTCTTTTATTTTTATTATTTTTTTAGAGACAAGAGTCTTACTTTGGGGTGGTGTCACAGCTCACAGCAACCTCCAGCTCTTGGGCTTAGGCAATTCTCTTGCCTCAGCTTCCTGAGTAGCTGGGACTACAGGCGCTCGCCACAGTGCCTGGCTATTTTTTTTGCAGTTTGGCTGGGGCTGGGATATGAACTTTGATACATGGGGCTGGTACCCTACTCACTGAGCCACAGGTGCCACCCTACATAGTGATTTTTCAATACATATAAAACGTGGTGATCAGAGCTGGGTTAATTTGCATACGACATCAGACATTTCTTTGTGTTGGGAACATTCCATATCCTCTTATTACCTGTTTGGAACTGTGGGATATATTATTAACTGCAGTCATCCTACAGAGGTGGAGAACACGGGCACTTATTTCTCCTTTTGTGTCCTGTATCAAATCTCTCCTTAGCTGTCTATCCTTTGCACTCCTCTGATATGTTGTACTCTTAATTTATGTAGGTTCAGCTTTTTTTTTTTTTTTTATTGTAGAGACATAGTTTCACTTTTATCACCCTTAGTAGAGTGCAGTAGCGTCACCACTCACAGCAACCTCCAACTCCTGGGTTTAGGCGATTCTCTTGCCCCAGCTTTCCGAGTAGCTGTGACTACAGGCACCTGTCATAACAATGCCTGGCTATTTTTTGTTGTTGCAGTTTGGCCGGGGCCAGGTTTGAACTCACCACCCTTGGTTTATGGGGCCAGTGCCCTACTCACTGAGCCACAGGTGCCACCTATAGAATCAACATCTTTTTTTAGCTTCCACGTTTGAGTGAGGACATGTATTTCATTTTCTGTTCGTAGCTTTTTCCATGTCACAATATTCTCCAGTTCCATCTGTGTTGCCATAATGACAGGATTTCATTCTTTTTTTATGGTTGAATAGTATTCCATGTGTGTATATACCACATTTTCTCATCCACCCATCTGTTGTTGGTGCCTGGGTTGATTCTCTATTTTGGCTGTTGTGAATCGCGATGCAGTTAACATGGCAGAAAGAGCTCTCTGATGTAATGATTTTTTTTCCTTTGGATGAATTCCCATAGTAGGATTGCTGGATTATATGGTAGTTCTATTCTTAGTGTTATTGAGGAACTTCATAGTGTTCTCCATGGCAGCTGCACTAGTTTTTTTTTTTTTCTTGTAGCGAAAGAGTCTCACTTTATCACCCTTGGTGGAATGCAGTGGCATCATAGCTCACAGCACTTCCAGCTCTGGCTTAGGCAATTCTCTTTCCTCAGCCTCCTGAGTGGCTGGGACTACAGATGCTCGCCACAATACCTGGCTATTTTTTTGTTCCAGTTTGGCCAGGGCTGGGTTTGAACCTGCTACCTTCAGTATATGGGGCCAGCACCCTACCCACTGAGCCACAGGTGCCTCCCTGCTGCACTAGTTTTCATTACCACTGATACCATTTCAAGAGTTCCTCATCTTTTGCCTGTATTTGTTGTTTTGTCTTCTGATGGTAGACATCTGAAGTGGGGTGAGATGATCATGGTGGTTTTGATTTGCCTTTCTGTGGTAACTAGTGATGTAAGTAGTTTTGTTTGTTTGTATTTCTTGCCCATTTGTACTGTTGTTTTCTGAGAAATGTCTGTCAGGTCATTTGTCCTTTTAAATTTTTTTTGAGACAGAGTCTCACTATATCATCCTCCTAGAGTTTATTAGCATCATAGTTCACAGCAACCACAAACTCTTGGGGCTAAAGCCACCCTCTTGTCTCAGCTTTGGATCACTTGTTTTTTTTGCTGTTAAGGTGTTTCAGTTTCCTGTACAGCATATTCAACATACTAATACCCTGTCAGATGAGTAGTTTAAAAATAGTTTCTCCCATTCTGTAAGTTGTCTTTTAACTTGCTGAGTGTTTACTTTGCTGTGTAAAAGCTTTTCATATGGTTATAATCCCCATTTGTTTATATTTGCTTTTATTGCCTGTGCTTTTGAGGTTTTATTTATAAAATCTTTTCCCAGACCAGTTTTCTGAAGTGTTTTCTTCTACCAGTTTTATTATTTCGATTCTAAACATTTCGGTCCCTGCTCCATTTTTAGTTGCTTTTTGTATAGGTTAAGAGGTAGGGTTTTAGTTTCAGTCTTCTACATATGAATATCCAGTTTTCCTAGCACATTTATTGGAGAGACTGTCCCCTCCCCAATAAATGTCCTTGGAGGCTATCAAAAATCTATAGTTTCTGGGTTCTCTATTCTTTTGCATTGGTGTATGTGTCTATTTTTATACCAATACTATGTTGTTTTGGTTACTATAGCTTTGTAGTATATTTTGACATCTGGAAGTGTCAGCTTTGTTTTTCTTGCTCAGGATTGCTTTGCCTATTCGGGGTCTTTTGTAGTTCCATACACATTTTTGGATATATTTTTTTCTATTTCTGTGAAGAACATCATTGATATTTTGATAAAGATTACATTGAATCTGTAGATTGCTTTGAGTAGTAGTCGTTTGATAAATCTTAACTATTGTTACCAGAAAAGTTCATTTGATACATAGGAGCAAGTATTAGAAAAAGAAATGGCCTCAACTTATTAAGTATTATAATTGTTACTTTCTGCTTTCTCTTTTATTCCTGCTATATTTTTCCCCTTCCGAGTATAGGAATATACCCCACTGTTCTTTTCTTCTGTATGCATGTCTCTACTCTCTTTGTATCATTGTTGAGTTACTGTTTTGAAATCACTCCTGATAATTCTATTATTTTTCTTTGAAATTCATCTTTATAGGATGTCTCAATTCTGGCATTGTTAGCTGATGGCTTTATTTTTTCAGTACTGTACTACCTTTTAGCTAATAGCTTTCTCTAGATACCTTATGTTCACATACTATATGAGTGACCAAGTTTACCAGTTGTGACGTAGGTGTCACTACTTGATAGGAAAGTAGCTTGTTAATAGTCCTTTTTTTTTTTTTTTCTTGAGACAGAGTCTCACTTTGTTACCCTTGGTAGAGCGCTGTGACGTCACAGTTCATAGCAACCTCCAACTCTTGGTCTTAAGCGATTTTCTTGCCTCAGCCTGCTGAGTAGTTGGGGGTCCAGGCGTCCACCACAATGCCCGGCTATTTTTTGTTGCAGTTGGCCTTGGCTGGGTTTGAACCCGCCACCCTCAGTATATGGGGCCAGCACCCTACTCACTGAGCCCTAGGCACCACCCAGAGTCCATGTGTTTTTATATATTGTATGCCTGTAGCAGCGTGGTTGACACACTTTAGGCATCTAGTAAATGTTGATTTGAATCGACAGATACCTTTGTAAATTGTGCTTTACTAGGAACACAATTCTCCTTTATCAAATGATTGGCCAAGGTCACAAATTTATTCTTTGGTACAGTATAGCTCTAGCTCTAGGCTTTAGGAAGTTAAAAAGTTACACATAAGAAGACTTACTCTTTTTTATTTTGTTTGTAGGAAGTAGAGCAGCTAAGAATGGAACGCCTACAGATTGATGAACAGCTACGACAGATTGGTATGGGTTTCAGACCTTCTTCCACCAGAGGGCCTGAAAAAGAGAAAGGATATGCCACTGATGAAAGTACCGTCTCTTCTGTACAAGGTTCTAGGTCTTATAGTGGAAGAGGCAGAGGTCGTCGGGGCCCTAATTACACCTCCGGTTATGGTAAAAAAAAATTTTTTTTTTCTTTTTTTGTAGTAGTATTATGTAAAGTTTAGGTGCTCCCACACATTTTGCTTATACTGAGTTCATCACTCTGAGGGTAGGAGGTAGTTCTGAGTTTTTAATAGTATTGATGGCATATTTTGTGTTAATCCCAGTATAATTATATAGTGAAATAAAGCATGTTTTTAAATCGGTAGTGCATAATCATGTTTGTTCTATTTTTGGGTTCTCTTTGTTGTTGTTTGTTTGTTTGTTTGTTTTTTTGAGATGGAGTCTCACTCTGTTACCTTCAGTAGAGAGCTGTGGCGTTATAGCTCACAGCAACCTGAAACTTGGGCTTAAACAATTCTCTTGCCTCGGCCTCCCAAGTAGCTGGGACTAGAGGTGCCTGCACAATGCCTGGCTAGTTTTTGCTACAATTGTCATTGTTGTTTAGCAGGCCAGGGCCCTACCCACTGAGCTATGGGTGCTGAGCCAGTCATGTTTTTTCTAGATAGTGAGAATAAATACATATGAAACTTGTTTTTCAGACATTTCCCTGTCACAGTTTTCTACATTTCCCAGTAAAAACAGTAATGGTGGTGATACTGCTGGAAATTGTCTTTTATCCACCAGTTACTCTGCCAAGATTACATATACCACATTTTTACTAGCTTTTAAAATATACTTTATTGACTCATTTGGCATATTTGAATTTATTAATTCCCCACATTAGGAATTGCTTGGTATAATAACAGCTTATCAATAAAATGAGAGCTTTAAAAGACAGAACATAAACCATTTTGTAAATGAATGTTTTTCTAAGATATATTTCACTGTGAGGATTTCACAGGTATAGAAAGGGGCCAGTGGAGTGGTAATAACCAACAGTTGTCTAATCCTGAATTCTCGCTTCCTCAGCTTTGGAGTTGTTCCATCTTTCTACATTTGGACTTGGACTTTGTGACTTGAGTTTTGTTTTTTTCTCTCCCTCATTTTCTTCCCTTCTAGTTTCCTTTTTTCTCTTCTCCACTCCCCTAGGGAAATATTTCATAAACCTTTTCCAAAATGTGAACATTGAAAGGAAATAGAAATAAGTGTGTGATTCCACTGTGTAGATTCCAGGTTCAGATTTCATGCTTGAGTGGAGGGTTGTCTAGTGATGCCAGAGTCATTAAACTCAATACTGTCTCACATTTCTTGTAGCTTAAGTATCCCTTCCCTTTAATATCCTATCTTTGTGCTCTTTATTTTTTAACTTTAGTTAAACTTATTTTGGAACCTCATAAGTAACATACTAGTATAGAAGTGTTCATGTGAAAGGTTGAGAATGATATAACTATTATTGTATTCTTGAAAATATATTTAATACAGAAGACAATCAGTACTTACATAGAAATTAAATATATTTTGATTGATTTTTGAATACTAGTTATTAGCACAGATAAGTAGAGGTGACTTTTTGGATACTGAGAATGATGAATTCATTTATTAGCTTCTGGGGGGACATGTGCTTATTGGTGACAGGTCACTCTGGCAAAATGCTTTTGTTTAGATGAGATAATCAAAATGGTAAACATTTGGATTGAAAAAGACCATGCACATTGTTCAGTAGGTGGCACTCTTACCTCGGATGGTCACAGAACTAGTAATATTGTATTATTTTGAAATAGCTGTTGTAAGTAATAACCCTTTGAATTTGGTTATACATAATCTTGTATGCTTTATATCAGAAGGAGTTTTAGGTAATTATGTAACTATAATTACAATTCTTAAAGAATTGTATACTTCATCAGAAGGATTTTTTTTTTTTTTTTTT